CTGGCCAATAGGTCAGTGAGTTAATAATCATTTTGGAAAAATTGTGTGGATGTATACACAACTAAGATCCAGTTTGGGCCAGTGGTTAAGGCCCCAGGCTAGAATCCAGGACACCGTGAGTTCTAGTCCCACCTTAGGCACGAAAGCTGCCTGGGTGACTTTGGGCCAGTCACTCCTCTCAGCCCAACTCACCTCACAGGGTGGTTGTTGTGGGGAAAATAGGAGGGGAAAGAAGTATTAGATATGTTTGCCACCTTGAGTTATTTAAAAAATAACTTTTTTTAGATTAAAAAAAATCTAAAAACAAAGTACCCAGCATCTTAGCACATCTCCCCACATCCCAAAGACTCAAGAATGCTTACACAGCAGCTGCATCCAGGCAACACTAATTCAAGCAACCACTAGGTGACGCTCAGGAAAGGTGAACCCTTTGCTGCCCTCTAGTGGTCATTAGGTTGATAGTCTATGGGGAAACAAGAAAAAAATTGGATAGAGTTCCTGGACTGTACAAGGACCACCCCAGGACACATTCTACAAAATGAAGGCTGATGTCTTTCATCACAGTTGGTGACATTCAGATTCAGCCACTGTAAACCACCCATCACTGCCCTTACAACATTGCATGGTATACCAATATATTATAATAGCACAACACAGTCCCGTTCTGGATGAGCAGCAAGCACAGCTAGGAGGACAGCAAAACTGAGGGCAGCAGGAGTTCCTCCCAGCTCCAGGGCATGGCAAAACTCATTGTGTGGGTAAGCCCTAAAGACAATTTCCTCCCAGTTCTCATGACTACTGGTATTGTTTTTAGCTGTTGTTTCTTTCTTTGGACTGTAGATTTGGTGTGTATGTGAAGTAGCTTGGGTTCTAGTGTCCTGTGTCATGATTTTCTCCATCATAATTCTTACTTACATCTTTTGAAAATGGTCTTATTACATTACAAAATAATGCAATAAGGGTCTGGCTTCTCTGCTTAAGTGAAACTAGCTCATTAAGCAAGCAGAATGTATTAAAACAAATGACCGAAAAAAAATAGCTGAGATATATTTTTTCTTAATTAAAGCAGCTTGATATATAAGCTAGACAACTGAATGGTTACCAAGGCCCAGATGGCTCATACCCTTTACTTGTCGATTTATGTGTTCTTCTCATAGCTTCCTGCCTGACCTCCGCAAAGAACAAGTCTCCAAGTTCTCCTCCCAAGTGACTAGTCTGGTGACAGACGCAGGATTTGTGCCAGTTGCGGGAACAGAAAAAACGCCCTTTTCTTTGTTTCAACTTGGGGATCAGGAGGCTGGAGAAAACCCCCATGAGATAATTCCACCTGAGATGTCAGCCCCTGGTTCCTGAGGCTACCCCTGTATTATACACTAACCTTTTTAGTGGTTCTTTAATAAAATAGGCTCTTGTTGCAAGTCACTGTGTTTGTTGATCAGTGTCTCGGTCATCAGATCAAGAAAGAAGGAGAGCTTCTGCTTCTGAGACGATCTTAACTGTCAGATGCGGGGACGAATTTAACATGCCCTCGTATATAACTTGCTTCTCATCCCTAGGCCTGGTAGACTCTTCTTTTAGTACATCAACATCAACAGGGGATATCTTCATCCCACAACTTAATCCTGCTCTCCAGGCCCCTTCATACAGCTTGCCAAGCTGTTTCCCCAGTTAACGCAGGAAAAAAGTGTCTCCCTCTTCCTGTGACACCAAGTCACTTGGATTCATCTCTGGGCACTTCCTAAATACTTCAGGGCAGGGGTCTTGAAACGCACAGCTGCCCTCTGGCTTCTCAGCAGGAAAGCCAGCAGTGGAAGATAAGGGAAATTTCTGCAAAAGATGGTTTGCCTGCTGCTTCTAAACTCCCCCCGCCCCCCGCCCCTCGCAGGGTAAAGCTGTTGGCGCTCTTGGTCACACATTCATTTCACAGAGAGGGACAATGAGGTTCATCGGCCTCAACAGAACAGTGTTTACCCTAACGCTTTGTGAACCCTCTCCAGAATCCAGCAAGCAGATGAGAACGGAGATTCCTTGAAACCAGGAACCTTTCGGAAATGCTGCTCTAACTTCTTGGTTGGTATCTTGCCTGCTATGTAGAATATCAAGAATACTCTGAGCAGATTGCAATCTTAAGAACTGCACCTCGGAATAAATGAATATTAAGAGCCGGGCTATAACGCAGAAGCTTACTGTGAACGAGAACCACTTTTCCTGCACTGTTGTTAATTATAACTTTATCTTGCCCTTCACCCAAGGAGCTCAGGACAGCGCGTGTCCTCTGAAGTTTTTCCTTCTCAATCCTGTCAGATAATTTAGGCTGGCGGTAACTTGGTTCAGAAAGCTTTGGGGAGATTTGCACATCAGTCTATCCAACTGCAGGCCCATTCTAGACCCAAAAAAAAAAAAAATCACATCAGCTCTAGGAATTGAATGCTCTCTTTTTCCATCGCAGAGTGTTACTATTTGAAGCAGGGAAATGCAGGGCCAGTTCCCAAGGCAGCAGTATCAGAAGCTGCACAACAGCAGCTGCTGAAACAGACCATGATTCTACTCAACCCCATGTTCAAGCACTCTGAAAATGTTCAGCCCCAATTCTGGGGCTGTGGTTCATATCCAGGTAAGGTGCAGTTCTGCCCCTTCCCCCACCTTGAATTCTCCAGAAGGGTCAAGGTAACAGCCAGGCCATCTGCAAGGGGGAGTCCAAAAAGTCCAGATGGCAGCCATAATCAAAGGGGCAGGGTTTCAACTGCATGGTTGTGGCCAGCATCTTGACTTTTTTGATGCCTGCCTCCCTAGAAACATCCCTGACTCCAGTTCCTAAAATTCCCTGCTTAGATGGGAATATTACTGGCCGTGCTGGCTGGAAATTCAGAAAGGTTTAATCCCAACACATCCAGAGGGCAACCGATTGAGAACGGTTGGCCTACGTTGACACATTTGGTTCAAGGCTTGCTCACGCTCTCACATGAATCTCTTGTAGCTAAAGTGCCACAGACACCAGTGTCTTTGGCACATAGTGGCCATGAGTAACCCAGAGATTAAAACTGCGTGGGTGCGCCCAGTCATCTCAAGTGTAGAGCATTTTCATAAACAGGTCTTACAAGATTACGCTTTTGGCTTGATCTTACTACCTCGATTGTTTCTGAAAGTCATGGGCAAACTCAGAACAGGAGTTTGATGCATGTGATCCCCTTGCTTGAGATGGGATACAGGAGCGGTTGAAATGAGGGGCAGCATTTGATCAACACCAGCCTTTCCATTGGGGCTCTGTCAGCCAAAGCCAAAGCCATCTCCATCCCTTTCTCATCCTGTTAGGCATATCGGGGCCATTCTTATCAGAGGAATGCATTCCTTTCTCCTTCTTCCCTAAAAGGCTTAGCTGATGCTTGACAGCTCTCTTTATAAAAGGCCACCAGCCATTTTTGGTGTCCGCACTTCACTGGGAAACAGTTCCCTCGCTGGCTGCACGTTATCCAGTTTTCAAGGACACCAGGTAAATCAGGGGGACCATTCTGTTGCTTTGGGGAAGTAGAGGGGGATTTTTCAGGTACGTAAGTTATCCCTTTCTTCAGTAGGGCCAGTTGGAAAATAGATCATGAGGAAACACGCAATACAGTAGAGTTATACATCTTGGGGATCTGTTATGGGTTTGCCCTTTTTTGATCTGTGGAAAGATCAGAACAGCCTTCACAAGAGGGTCCCCCACCCCTTATTTTGATATCCACGCGTGGACGGAATGCAATAAATGGGTTCCTAATTAATGCCCCATAATCTAAGTTAACTACACTATCGTAGAATGACAATTTAATTTCCTCAATTCTTAATCCTGGAGGTTAAAGGTTGTGGGGAGGTTTTTCGTTGCTGCTGTCCTTTAATCGCTGCTCCTCTGTTCCTCCTCTCTTTTATATTGATGGGTGTGCCTTATTATCTTATTAACCAGCCACACTGAGAACCCCTCAAGCCAATGAAGGAATATCACTCTCTGGAGGCTGTTGTTTTTTATTAGCCTGGCCACGAGAAAAGCTGTCTTGGTGGAACACATAGGAGGATTTCACCAGGATACTGGAATTGGGTACTTACAGGCAGATGCCAAGGCCAGAGCAATCTGGCACGAGCCCAGCCAAAGGGATTGCTGGGCAAGGCTCACTGGGAGCCAGTTACTTGGAAGGAGAAGACCAGCAAACATTATCCCCAAAGCTCCCTCTGATCTAATATCACTCCCATGGGCTGAAATTAAATAGACCTCTTTTTGGTTTTGGTCTTTGAGTAAGTCTTGATGCCGGGCAAGTCCATTGACGAGCCCACGCGTTTCTCTTGGCAACGTTTTCAGAAGCGGCCTGCTGTTGCCTTCTTCTGAGGACTGAGAGAGAGTGGCTGGCCAGCTGTTTCCATGCCTAAAGTAGGACTAGAACTCTGGTTTCCCCCCTCCCTAATCCAGCGCCTCAACCCCTGAATCAAACTGGCTTAGCGTGAATACAGTAAGTCTTGGCAGTGCTGTTCTCTTTATGAGCCAGAGAATGAGAGAGAGGCAGCAAAGCTCTGAGAAAGCCTAGCAGCCCTGGGCAGGGCCCCTCCAGCTTTATTTCTGAGCCTAACAGCAGATGTCTCTAGCAAAAGTGCTGAAGGGTTGGTTTCACACCTCACGCTAAGAATAAAGGCATCCCTTTGCAGCGCTCCAAGAAAGGGGAGGGGTGAAAACGCAGCCTCTGTATTTCTGTTTTCGGCTTGAGCGATTTCTGCCCATACCCCTTCCCCCTGCCCAACTTCCAGCTCTGAGCTTTGAGAAAAAACATTTTATTTTAAAAGCCTTGCTTTAAAATAGTCGAGCTGGGAATTTAGCCTCAATCCAGCTTTCCCTAAAAATGGTTGCATGGCTACACACACGCACACACACACCACATCAATTTGAGTGAACAAGCCCCATCCCATCTGCCGTTGGTTTTGGAGCATGTGCCGTGCCTGCAAAGCTCACCGCCTCTTCCCTATGGAATGACCTGGCCCCATTTTCGAAGCAATAAGATGGCATGAATTTAGCTGCCCAAATTGCTCAAGTGATAACAGGATGTCTCACCCAAGGTCCAGGCAAATCTGTGCATCAAGGAAGGCCAACACTTGGCTGCTGGCGGGTTCGAGTGAGAAGCATGATCTGAATTTGGGAATGAGCTGAACTTGGAAAGCAACAGCAGGAGGTTTTCAAGAGAGTTAATCTCTTGATTATAGACAGAACAACTTTGCAGGTCTCCTTTCTGTTAAGATGTGTGGTGATCCAGTCTTCTTTTAAAGCTCCAGGCCGTGATGTACGTTAGGCAGGCATAAATTGTTTTTCACCATGCAGTAAATGTCTCCTTAAAACATTTTTAGCAGACTTACAGGAAATGTGGTCCGATGGAGGTGAACCTGCTAATTTTTGTAGCATGTTTATGGCATGTACAATTCTTTAAATACTGAAAGGTTCAGAGAGTATAAAATCAAGTCATAATGTGATGTGTGAGCCGGTGCTGCTGAGAAGAGACAAATGCCTTCAAAATAATCAATAGCAATATTTTTGTGAGATTTTCCAGGGGCCACTTCAGTTTAAATGTTTATTTATTCATTTATAACCACATAGAGTTGTTATTTCAACCTGTGCAAAAACAATCTTGTGAGGTAGGCTGGTGGAGAGATTCATGCTGACCTAAGATTATCTTGTGGCTGAGTTCACATACCACCTCAAGCTAAAATATGGTTTGCTTACTTCTGGCTTAGCATATTGTATCAAAGCAGCCAGGGCACCCGTGCATACACACAAATACACGCGCGCACACAGACTAAAATACATTGAAGAAGCTTGCTTTGAAAGGTGATAACAAAAGATTTAAAGGAAATGATGTTCCCAGCCTCCACCTGTTCTTATGTAAGATGGTTTATCAGTCTTTTGGAGGATGAGGGAGGGAGGGGAGGTAACACAGCAAGATAAAAATACTTCAAATAAATCTGTATTTCACATACCAGAGAGACCTGGGGAAGTAGTGCAAAATGTCAAAAGTGCATCACCTTCCCAACCAAGACTCCCAATCGGCAGTTACAGGTTTGACATTCAGGTTTATGATTGTAATGGCCTGAAATTACATCAGAAAGATAGGGCTTTTAGGCCTGTCCTAAAACCTGCCACTACTTGTTTTAAATGCTGCTACACAGACACAGACAGACAGACACACCCAATCACAAAGTGGCAAACATTTCTGAGGTTGCCTGCACGTCCAAAAGAGTCATGGAGGATAAACCTGATTGGTGCTTTGTAAGGTGCTAATATTAGAAATAAGCTTGTGGCCTCTGAAGGAAAAGTGGAGAGAGAGAGAGAGAGAGAGAAGATATAGACAAAGAGATGATTGATAGATGATAGATATACATGATAGATAGAT